CCAGCCAGACTGGGGGGCCCTGTCAGGCTATGCCTGGCTCTTGGGGGGGCTGTTCCCACCCAAATCCCGCACATCCACACCCCACGAGCTCGCCTGTGCCTCCTGCCTGGAGGAGCCTTCGTAGGGGCCCTGATGAGCCCCTTCCCTCCAGCAATGGTGGTGCCCATTGAACTGGGACTGGGGAGTGATGCTCAGAGTGGTGCTGGGGGTGATGCCAGGGGTGATGCTGGGGAGTGATGCTGGGGGTGAAGCCAGCAATGGTCCCCAGCACCCGCCTCACCGGCAGCCCCCCACCACGCCGAGCCATGCGGCCGGTACGTCCCCGTCTGCCGCTGACCCTGGCCTGATTGGATCTCCCCTCTGCGCCAGCTGTATTTATTTTCGGGTTGTGGCTGCCGCCGCCTGTCCTCCCTCCCCTCCCCGCGCCCCCCCGGGGTTTAACGTGCGGTGCCGCGGTGCGGCGTAACCCAAGACCCCCCGACTCAGCACACGGATCCACGCGGGGCTGCGGACGCCTCTCCTCCTCCTCCCGCATGGGCTTTTTCCAATGTCGCTGGTATCTTCTTGTGGGTTTTTTTTGTTTGTTTGTTTGTTGTTGGTTTTTTTTTAGCTCAAATGGATTCCATCCAATTTGCCCAGAATTAAGCTCCCGCAGATTTTAATTTGCTGACATTTTCCTCATCCGTTGGGTTGTGGATATAGCAGGGATAACGCACGTGCGGCGCCGGTTCCTCCCCGCGCCCGTCCCCTGCCCATATGGCTGCTGTGCGTAGTAAAGTGCACGGCTGCGGTTCTGCTCGGGAAGGATGAAATACGGCGGCGAGGGGGAAAGATGAGCTGTCTCGGGTGAGTAATGGACCTTTCCCAGGAGGGCTGGGAGGGGAATGGGCTTAGAGCAGCTTAATTCTCAAACCTAGCATCCCCCAAAATCAGATGTGCTAAAAGTTAATTAACTCTTAGCACCCGCGTCGCGGCGGAGCTGCTCTGCCAGGGAAAGGGAAATCTTGGGAAATACGGCGGCGAGGGGGAAAGATGAGCTGTCTCGGGTGAGTAATGGACCTTTCCCAGGAGGGCTGGGAGGGGAATGGGCTTAGAGCAGCTTAATTCTCAAACCTAGCATCCCCCAAAATCAGATGTGCTAAAAGTTAATTAACTCTTAGCACCCGCGTCGCGGCGGAGCTGCTCTGCCAGGGAAAGGGAAATCTTGGGTCTTGTGATACTCCG